TCCCACAGGCTATTCTCTCCTTAAACTAATACATTGTAAGAGCTTGACCTGCCCCTCATATTATGACTCAAATCTTGCTTAGCTTTATATCCCACTTACATAACTCATATGTATTTGTTCGTGTGTGGATATATATAAAATAATTAAGTAAAATCCTATGCAACAGCTTTCTTTACATTATTAACTCCTTCTGGAATGACTCAATGTCTACTCATCAATAATTTTGCATTATTAAAAGTCTAATTTTGAGTACACCATCTACAGTAACTCTATATACATTTGTCAGAAATATTCATTCTTTGTTCATTTGAATTTCTGAAAATGACAGGTTTTCATTGCTGTATGTTATCTATCTTTTGTGTAAAAATACTACATATAATTAATTTAAGAAATAAATTTTCACATTTCAGAAATGATTACAAAAATTAGGAAATCTCATAGTAACACATATAGCTCATACTGTGTTATTTTGCTTTCAGTATGATAGATGATCAGATGTACCTGGAAACCAATATATCCATTATATAAATCATAAGCAATATTTGAGCATACAGAAAGTATCTTCAGTGTTTTCTGTTTTATTTCCAAGATAAGACTGGATCCCTAATAATATGAGGAAATCATTACTTTTATGCTGCTGTGTTGAAATATGATCAATGGCCAAAGCTCATCTTTGTGAGTTGGCTATTTCAAAATAAGGTAATGACATCCACAGAAAATAGTTGAATAATGCCCTTAGAAGTTAATTAAACTCTATCATTATCAAATCTACTCTTGTGTACAAGCAAGCTTTGTCATCTTTGAAACAAGGCTACTCAGAAGTGACTGGCTCATGGATGTTTCGATTTCAATTTTCTATAAAACATTCTCAACTTTGGATGTTCTTGACAAAGGGTAGAGTCTGAACTCTCACAGGAAGGAAGAAATATCCCTATCATCTTGAGTCATTAATTATTTTTGATGTACTTATCCCAATTTTAGTGACACTGTAAAAAATCTATTTGTCTCTGTCCTGGTCATTTCAGTCATGATTTGAATATGCTGCTATCTCTAAAGCTAAGAGAACCATTCTTATGACTCAATTTCCTTCAACTCCCATCAGTGATTAATGCTCTATGTTCAGTTGCTACATAGAGCATATTTTATGATCTTTAAGGCATTTATCACAGTCAAACAAAATTTTTCTTAAGTTCTTATTAAAACATTTGTTTATCTGTATTTTTAATTAATCTAGCTAAAAATATATAAATGTAACCAATACAAATGTAAGCAACCTTATAGTAAAGTTTTCTTAATGTATGTGTACACCTAAATTCCTTGCCTGTATTTTATACCAATCCCTAAAGACAGAATCAAGTAAAATAATTCAGTGTGACAATTTGACATTTATGTTCATACCTAATTTATATCATGTACATTAATTTTAATTTAGTTAGACATTTCACCTGACTGTGAAATAAAACATACTTGCATATTTAATTCTTTATTGCAGCCAGCTCCTAATAGGAAAGTCTATGTAAACAAAAGTTATTATAAACTGAATATACAAAGACTTATATTCAACCAAATATTTTCTAATTACTTTATCAAACATTAACAATATATGCATTTCCAAGCATACAAAGTTACTTAAAATTGTATGCATTTAAAAAAAACAAGATGTGGGCTGGGGATTTAGCTCAGTGATTTCGCCGCCTGCTGTGCAAACACAAGGACCTGAGTTCGATCCCCAGTACCAAAAA